TTTGTTGTTTGTATATGAAAACACAACCGTTTTTTTTGGTTCATTTTGTATCCTGCTACTTTCCTGAATTCACTTATTAAATGTTTTTTGCAGGATTAGAATCCTGCAAACAGAGATAATTTTACTTTATCCTTTCTGATTTGGATGAGTTTTGTTTCTCTTTCTTGCCTAATTGCTCTGGCTAGGACTTTCAGTACTATGTTCTGTGTTCTACTAATGCTATGTACTATGAATAGAAATGGCAAGAGTGGATGGACATCCTTGCTTTTTTCCTGATCTTCGAGGAAAAGCTTTCAGTCTCGTATTGTTCAATATGGAAGTGTTCCTGCCTCTTTAATTTTGGGGGGAGAGTTTAAGGATTGGTGTTAGTTCTTTTTTAAAATGTTTGGTAAAATTCACCTGAAAACCGTCTGGTCCTGGGCTTTTCTGTGTTGGGAGGTTTTTTTTTATGGCTGATTCAATCTCCTTCTTTGTTATTTGTCTGTTAGGTTTTCTATCTCTTCACGATTCAGTCTTGGTGAGTTGTATGTTCCAAGAATTTGTTGTGGTATAATTATATATAGTTATCTCTTGTAATCCTTTTTATTTCTGTGGTATTGGTTGTGATGTCTCCTTTCATACTTTGCTGCTGTTGGATGGAATGCTCTTTATATATCTGATCAGTACATTTGGTCTATAGTGTTGTTCTTGTCCTCTCTTTCCTTGTTGATCTGTCTGGATGTTATGCCCATTATTTAAAGTGGAGCAATGAAATCTACTGATATGTGTTCCTATTTTCCCCTTCAGTTCTATGCAGTTGGGTATACATATATTGCTCTGATGTTGGGTGTGTATATATTTATATAGTCTATCTTCCTAGCGAATTGACCTTTTTATCGTACATAATATTTTTTGTCTCTTGTGACTGTATGTGTCTATTTTGTGTGACATACGTACGGTTACACTTGCTCTCTTTCAGTTACCATTTGCATGGAATTTTTTTTCATTCTATTACTTTTAGCCTCTGTATGTCCTTAAATATAAAGTGAATCTCTTATAGATATTACACTCTTCTATAAGAATCCTTATAGAAGGACTCTTATTTATATCTTGTTTGTTATCCTTTTAGTCACTCTTTGTAAAATGTGTTTTTAATTGATTTGAGAGAGAGAGAAAGAGAAAGATAGAGAGGGAGGAAGGGGGATAGAGAGAGGGAAACATTGATCAGTTGCCTCCCACCCCACCGTACTTCCCCACATGCCCTGATCAGGGATCGAACCTGCTACCCAGACACATGCCCCAACGTGGAACTGGCCCACAACCTTTTGGTGCATGGGAGGATGCTCCAACCAATGGAGCCACCTGACCAGGGCATCACTGTCTTTTGATTGAGGAGTTTATCCCATTAAAATTTAAACTACAGATAGGAAAGGACCTACTATTGCCATTTTGTTAATTATTTTCTGTCTCATAGCGTTTTTGTCTCATTTCCTCTGCTGTCTTATGTCTCATTGATTTTTTTTTGTAGTGACATGCTTTGTATCCTTATTCATTATCTTTTATGTGTCTTGTATAGGTATTTTCTTAGTGGTTACCCTGGGGCTTACAGAAAACATCTTATAGTTATAACAGTCTATTTTGAACTGATAACAACAGCTCCAATTCCATACAAAAGTTCTACTTTTTTATTCCCCACACTTTATGTTCTTGATGTCACAGACTACATCTTTTTATATTGTGTATCCATTACCATATTTTTACAGTTATAGTTATTTATACTTTTGTCTTTGAACTTCTATACCAGAACTAAAAGTGATTTATGCTCCAGTATTACAGTATTCTGTACTTTTCTATATATTTACCATTATTAGTGAGCTTTATACTTTCATATGCTTTTGTATTGGTTTCTAGTGTTCTTTCCTTTCAACTTGAAGGACTCCTGTTAGCATTTCTTAAAAGGCAGGTCTAATGGATAAACTCTACCAGCTTTTGTGTATCTGGAAAAATTTTGCTTAATATAGTATTTTTGGCTTTTTTTTTTTTCTTCCAGCACTTTGAATATATCATCCTTCACCCCTTTGGCTTTCACTATTTTTTTGCTGAGAAATCTGCTTATAGCATTAGGGGGGTCCTTAATAATCCCATCATTTTAAATTAATATGTTTACCAAGGACTTGGATTCTGAAGGAGAGTAAAGAAAGCATTGAGTTTCATGAAACCCCAAAGGTCTTAACTCAGGGAATTACAGGGCACTTACTCCGGAGTGTAGAGAGCCAGGAGCAGAGGAACCAAGAGCTCATATGACCTCTCAAGGAAGCCGATAAATACACATGTATGTTACTTCATTAGGAAAACAACAGTCGTGCTTCATGTAAAAAATTGTCCACACCTATATAGCTACATCTGTCTTTTCCTGATGAAATAACACCTGTTTGGGATTCCATTGACCTGAGGATTTCATTTGGGTTATAATAGCATCAAGAACTGTATTAGGCCTAAGAGAACTTACTGTAAAAGAGAACATTACTGAACTTGCCAGAGAAAATAAACACCCTTACCTACTTCTTTAGTTCTAAGGCTCATAAAGGAACTGTACTCTTTAGCATAAACACAGTTCTTTATTTCTTTCCTGACAATATAATTAAAGCAGTTGTTTAAGAGCCACACAACTAAATAAATTATTTTATAAAATGCCACTAAATGTGCTGCTTGCCCTTCCCAGAACTCAGAATCTGTCAGTGCCTGGGTAGAACTCTTCCCAGAAGGGGTAATTCATTGAGAGACACACAGACAATCCAAGATAACCTTTTGTTTTTAATTAAAATGGGGAATGAGAAGCCAATTCAAAAATTTTCTCCCTTAATTTGCTCAAGGTGAGGATGATGGAACTTCTGTTCTAACAGAGCACCAGCAATTGTTAAAAATCATAAATCTGGCTGTGCTGTGAGTCTATAGCCATTACATGCATATCTTTAAATGCTGCCCTGGTATAACATGATCAGGCTCATTAATGAATGAACTGTTAACTGTTACATTTTTGGTGGTAGGGTTAAGATATTTTTTCCTCCTTGAAATTGAATTAAAGTATATACCTTCTAAGCTAAGAAGAAATAGGCTTTCTAAGATTATAGCAGGTAGAGAACATTCAACAAATTCTAGCCAACAAAACTAAAATGCACTATATAGAAACTAAAATTTTTGTGCATGCTCAAGTTTCTTGCTCATAGTAGGTATTCACTCAATTTTTAATTGAATTTTTAAAATAATATATTACGATATAATTCACATTCCATATAATTCAATCAAAGTGTACAATTCAATGACTGTTAGTATATTTACAGAATTGTGCAAACATGATTACATATAATTTGAGAAAATTTTTATCACCCTCCCCAGCAAAGAAACCTTGTACCCATTAGTAATCACTCCCCATTTTTTCCTACACCGCCCAATCCTAAGCAATTACCTTCTCTCTGTATATTTGCCTATTCTGGACATTTTGTATAAATGGAATCATACAATATGTGGTCTTTTGTCACTGGCTTACTTCACTTTATACAATGTTTTCAAGTTTCATCCATATTGATTCATATTCCTTTTTATGGGCAAATAACTTTATATTGTATGGCTAGACTACATTTTACTTAGCCATTCATCAGTTGAACACTTGGGTTGTTTTTACTGTTTGGCTATTATGAATTATGCTGCTATGAACATTATGTTCATGTATTGTGTGGATGCATGCTTTTATTTCTTTTTAGTATATGTTTAGAAGTAGAATTACTAGATAATACGGTAATTCTCTTTAACCAGTTGAGACTGTTTTCCAAAGTATTTGTACCAATTTACACTCCTACTAGCAGTGTCTGAGGGTCTCCACATACTTGCCAACACTTGCTATTGTCTGTTTGCTTTTTATTATAGGCATCCTATTGGGTGTGAAATAGTAAATCATTCTGGTACTGATTTTTATTTGTGTCATGGCTAATGATGGCTGAGTATCTTTTCCTGTTTTTACTGGCCATTTATCTTCTTTGGAGAAATATCTATTTAGATTCTTTGTTCTTTGAAAATTGGGTCATTTGTCCTTTTATTATTGAGTTACAAGAATTCTTTATATATTCTGGATACAAGCCCCTTACTAGATATATGATTTGCAAATATTTTCTCCTATTTTGTGGGTTGCCTTTTCATTTTATAGTATCTTTTGACATCTGAGTATTTTTAATTTAATGGCATCTGAGTATTTTTTTCATTGATCTGTATTTCTATTCTTATGCCAGTACCACCTTGTTTTGATTACCTTGGCTTTAGAGTAAAATTTGAAATTGGGAATTTTGAATTCTCAAGTTTTGTTCTTATTTTTCAAGATTATTTTGGCTATTGGATTCCCTTGCTGTTCCATATGAATTCTAGGATTACTTCCTTAATTTTGCCAAAGAAGCCAGTTGGGATTTTGGTAGGCATTACATTGAGTCTGTAGATCTACTTGGGAAATATTACTATTTTAAATTAACACCATTAAGTCTTTTGATCCACAAATGTATTGCTCTTTTTGTTTTATTGTGTTATGCATAGGTATTGAAATGGGGACCTTGCTTATTAACACCCCCTCCTTACAGTAGAACTGATTTTAATTATTTCATATTGGAATAACATAATTGAATATTACAATATGTGGAGTTAGTTTATTATTTCTATATCCTAAGTGTAGCTGCTCATTAGAACTATAAATTTCTTTGGGGCAGTATATATCTTATTAGTTTTGTGTTGCTTAGAGTAATGTCATAGTTGCTTAAGAAAAAACATTTTTTTGATTGGTGTCTGGCAGCTAATTATATAAGAGAGAGAATATTAGTGGCGCTATAAAATTACCATCAATAACAAATTGCTAACTATTTCTCAGTCTTCTAATTCATATATATTTATAATACTCCTTTGAATAAAAATGAATAGTGATTGCTTTCCAGGTTGATTTTCTTCATAAGGCATAATTAATATATTCTTTAAATTCACTTCAGGTACCAAATTTGATTCCAGTTTTGATGTTCAAATTGGGAAGACCACTGGAGCCTGCATTATACATTGATATCTTATATACTTTACCTACACTTGGTGTTCACAAGGTTTGTATATTATCCAATTTACTTGAAGGAAAAAAGAAAGTGAGTTATGAATAATACATTGAATTTTGGTTGGTATCATATGAAATTTTGAGCCTTTAATTTTGTTGTGATCACTGCTTCCCTTGTTGGGCCAAATGTATTATTAAGATATCTGAAGAGTAATTCTTTTAAATCAATTAATAGCCAAGTTTTTCCATTGGTTATTATCTGAAATAAGGTCTTTATGTTCCTAAGATTGCTACCTAACATCTCAAAGTTACCCCCAACCTTTGAGAAGATGTTTAATACTGTAGTAAACTTCCATTTAGGTCTTTATTTTATGATGAGGGGGGTTTTAATTCTTTTGGTAACCTGGGGATTATGTACATTTACATCTATGAAACCTAAAATTTTAAAGTATTTCCTAGGTGTGCATAGGACAAATTCTACGAGTAATTCAACTTCTTGGAACCACTCCACAACTACGAGCTGTCACTTTGCGCTTGTTGACATCTTTGTGGGAAAAGCAGGTGAGCTCAGATACACACTTGTGTAAGTATTAAACATGTTTTTTCAGTGAAGAAAACTGATTTTGTCATTATGTATGGCGGTGCTTTGACATAGTAGTATTAGTGTGCGACATCAGTGACCGCGTGGGAGAAATTTGATGCAGTGTGATGCTTGTGATCAGTAATGCTGTCAGTTGTGATTGACTCAGAGAAATTGAGACTGGGAAATAATCTTATTTCTTTGATTCTGAAATTTATTTTTCCATGTGTGTGGGAAAGTAATACAAATATGATAATAAGTGATTAGAGCCTTTGTAATTAGGGTGAGGTTTAACCACTTTTTTCTTGTTTTATGAGATGAACAGTGCATGGGACTGTAAGAAATCCCCAGCAATCAAAACAGCATTCTTCCCTGCTGATTAGAAGAAAGACATTATAATTTGCAATGCAAATGGGAGATTTGGAGAGAAAAATGCTGCATAACAGGAAATAATGATTATTCAACTCAAATTGGGAAATTGCCTTTTTTTGTGAACTTGTCTTTTTAGGATCGTGTCTATCCTGAACTGCAGCGGTTCATGGCCATGTCCGAGGCACCCTCTCTGTCCGCGGGCAAGGAAGTCCAGTGGGAGAAACTGATCGCTAAAGCAGCATCCATCAGAGACATATGTAAGCAAAGGTAAGATGTGCTTATCCCTTGGGAATGTGTATCATGATTTATTATTTTGCATTTATTTATTATTTTATTGCAAGCAAGAATCTAGGAAAGGTGGGTAGAATATATTTGAGTAAGAATAAATTAATTTTCAATTTAAGTTTTCTGATTGTAAAATTTAGTAAGATTGGAAAATAACTTTGAGAAGCAAGCATGTTTTATATCTAATCTAGCTTTGTAGGATATTCATATCCTTTTCTGGATAGCAATTGAGTATTGTACTAAAGCATATGAGTTTACATATTTTATTTTTCCTTATATAAATCCCTGTGACCTAAGAAGTGGACGGTAGTCCAATTGTCCTTATATTCTCCCAGTGTTGTGTTGATTTTTATAGTCTTAACAGAGAAGGCCTTGTTTGTGACCCATTGCATGGAGTTGATTATTAGGAATTACGACAAGGAAGGAAATGATCTTGAATTCCCATGTATGCTCTAGGGTTTAGGAGGATATGGAGATATTAGAGAGATGACCCTGCTGTTCTAGAGTATGGATTGATAAATAGGTAGGAGGGGACACGACTGCATTAGCACCAAGCAAAGCTCCAGCGTTTTTTCTTGAGTAGAATAAGGTAAAAATATTTAGGGAGGAAATAGATTTGAGACATTTGAACGAGTTGTAATCCTGCGATTCCATATGTGTCTCCTCTGCACTGTAGAATTCCGGGGGGACATATCTCATTTTTGTCCGTAATGGCACTGTGAATGGTACTTCTAAAGTTGTGCAATGAATGGGTTGGTCCACATGCTGCTCACTGGCCCAGGGGACCGTATTGAGTGTTTCAAGAAAAATCTTGGATCAGACTATATCGGCATTTCTGCGTTTCTTCTAAGCCTCAGCCTTTTGCAAATACAAAGATGACCTCAGTCTAAAAGTTACGAGAGGTCTTTATGTTCCTAAGATTGCATTCTTAAAGCTGCCGCTCAGGAGAGAGTCTTTTGAGAACTTATTCAGTGCTCTTTTCAGTTAACACCTCAAGATCCATCAGTTTTCCAGTTTTGGAAAATGATTTCTGTTTGTCAAGACAGTAAAACAATAGAATTCCAGTCAGGCAATTTCACCAATTGATATTTTGTCAATTAGAGAACAGTATTATATCCCTGAAGTAAGCAGAGGATGTAATAAGTAATAAGTAATGCAGAGGATGACCTGAGTTAAAAGCCTTCTGTGGATAGCACAACATATGTGGAATCGAGAGGAGAGGGAGGGGAGGAGGAAGAGTGAGTGAATTCAGCACAGTGCTTGGGTAGATGCTCTGTCAGTTATAATTCATATCATCATCATCATCATCATCATCATTGTCACATTGTGTAGTAGGTATAGCCCCTTCCGTTAGTATCACTATGATCATAAATGACCTTCTGACCTCCAGTACTGCTTTTGTAGTCAGTGTCTGATATCAGAGCAACTTCTGGGCAGGCGTAGCTCTCTTCTTACTGATAATCTCACTAAGGTAAGTCAGTTCTTTTCACCATTGATACGCTGGAAATTTTGTCAGTTCAGACATTTATGATTTAGGGAGAATATATTTAAGAAGTGTCTTCCTTTGGGGATCATATTTCTATATCAAAAATGTGCCTTAAGTTAGAGCAAAAATGACAATGATGACCATCTTTGAAGAAAAATACATGGTGTTACTATTTGAGGGTCAATATTTAGGAGGCAGAAGGGTAAAGACAAGCTTTAATGCTTTTTATTCAGACAAAAGACCAGGAGACGGTAATATAGCTCTCTGGCTGTCATCTCTGAACTTTCGTTTCCTGCAGGCCCTATCAGCACGGTGCAGACATGCTGGCCGCCATTTCCCAGGTGCTGAACGAGTGCACCAAGCCGGATCAGGCCACCCCAGCGGCCTTGGTGTTACAAGGTCTCCATGCACTCTGCCAAGCCGAGGTAGGCTCTTTGAACTGGCTTGTATAATTGTGAAGAAAAGAATTTACAAGGTATATTAGTTACGAGGATGTAAGATTAGATTCAAGTAACTGAAAGTTTGGATATTCATTCTTAGGGATTTTTCGTTGAAAGAGTGAAGCAAGACCTTCTACTTTACCCATTCTTTGTAGAGGGGAGACTCGAAACATCTGGTTATGTAGACATTCTCTAGAGAATTATTTATTCTCTTATTTATTTCTGTTAATATAGAAGGGAAAGTTATGCTTATAGGAGAATTCTTGAATACATTTGCTTCTTAGTTTCGTGATTAGAGAGCCTTACAAGCAGATGAGGTGAAAAGGTTGGGATGGACTAGCAGTGGTTCTCAACCTTCCTAATGCCGTGACCCTTTAATACAGTTCCTCATGTTGTGGTGACCCCCCAACCATAAAACTATTTTCGTTGCTACTTCATAACTGTAATTTTGCTACTGTTATGAATCGTAATGTAAATATCTGATATGCAGGATGTATTTTCATTGTTTGCGACCCACAGGTTGAGAACCGCTGGACTAGTGGCAGTTTCATAACCAGCGACAATTATTGCTGGCTTGCAGACTGGCTAAGGAGCCTTGCTTTCCTAGTGATCCGTTTGGATGCATCAGTGTTAGAACTGAGGCTGGAACTCATTTTCTGAACTTCAGGCAGCTCACAAATGACAGCCCAGCAGAGAGTCTCTGCTGCTGGGAGAAATGCGGTAATGACAGCAGGGATCCTTCACTAACCACACTTTGGTTCTTGCCAGAGTGAACATACCTACACAAAATTGTGCCTTTTTAGAGAAAGAGACTAAGTAGAATTATTTTAGCTTGTGGTAATTATGCTTGATATGATGGTAATGAATGTAATATAATAATACAAGCAGTGGCTGGATTGAATGTTCATATGCTCATGTCCCTGTGGTGAGCACTTTTCATTTCTGTTCTTCAACAACTCTGCAATGCAGGGATTATAACACCATTTTATAGGTGAGGAAAACAGGCCTCAGAGGCAGGTTAGGTATTTCCTCAGGACCGGGTCTGAGAATGAACTAATGTTCTTTTGGGCACACACTGATTCCAGCAGGCAGTAAACTCCACCGCTGCTCGGGAACTGTGTGCGCGGAGGGCAGTGTTTTCAGTGCTAGTAGTTGGCCGAGGTTTTAGGGTTTCACTGCGGAGGACTATCAGAGCACAACCAAGGACTTTGTATTTTACCGCTCCCATCCGTCCTCTAGAATTGGGAAGTATCACCTTGATCATTATATTGTTTTCATAAAACCTTGTCTTTAAATGAGGTTTTAACAGAATCTTTGAGAGGAGAATTTTATACACTCACCTCCAAAAGGTGCCCACTATTGTAATTTTGGAATATTTCTCTTTATTATTTTTTCCGAACAGAAATCAACTTATTTCTAAAATTAACTTTTCCCCCTAAAGAATAGTCATTTTGTCTTATTGTGCCTACAGTCCCGCTGGGTTCCCCAGGCCTCCTCTGCTGTTTCCGTGAGGCTCTTGTCTGTTGGTGCTTATTAATGCATAAGCTGTCCTCAGAGTGCGGTGCTGTTTTTTCTCATTCCGTTTCTCTAAGATATTCATTGTAGCTCATACCAGAGATATGAAAAACATTCCCTGATGTGGTAGGAAGCATCTTTTACAGGCTGAGACGATCCCATGACTGTAGCATTTATTAGCTGTTTCCTTTGGCTAATTTACTTACCCCCCGGAGCCTCTGTTTCTTCAAATCGAGATAAGATGCGATTACACACAAAAAACACTTAGCGTAATATCTGCCCATAGAGGTGCTTTTTAAGTGTTGAACTTGCTCCAGAAATATTGGTACACAATTGGATATAATCAATGCCATCAGGAAGGTTTTAGATGGTTTTTGTTTTTGTTTTTGAATCTTTTCCCTAAAACTCAGGCAATGATAGTGACTTAATTTCTTTCTCCAAATGGTCTCCTATCCCTTCACTGCTGGGGCTCTTGGTGCTTATTTCTATACTTAAAGGAAACCACTTTGGATTGTTGAATTTTTAGCCCCGAATCCATTCCCCCAACCCAAACTACTACCCATAATGGTAATTTTGAGACCACGATTATACTGTCTAAATCCATCTAGGCTACTACAGCAAAAATAACATGAACTGGATGGTGTAGCTACAACACACATGTATTTCTCACAGCTCTGGAGGCTGGGAAAGCCAGATCAAGGCACTGGCATATTCAGTGTCTGGTGGGGGATGCTTCCCGGTTCATAGAAGGCCACCGTTCTCATGATGGCTGTCTTTTCACTGTAGTCTCACCCAGCAGAAGGCACAAGACAGCTCTCTGGAGTCTCTTCACAAAGACACTAATCCCAGTCATGAAAACTCTCCCCTCATGACCTCATCACCTCCCAAAGATCTGTCTCATAATACCATCATCATGGGGATTAGGATTTCCACATATGAATTTGGGGGTGACACAAGCATTTAGCCTATAGCAACTAGAGTACTTCTCACATTTCATCTGTCCTCCAGAGGAATTGAAGTATCATGTCTAGGTATTTCTTAAATAAAGGTTCTTTCTTATTTTGATACATCAATAATCCTTTTCTTTGCTCGATTAAAGGTATTTCTTTTTCTCTTAATGTTCTGAAATCAACATTCAATATAATATTTTTATCAAAGGCTTTCCCATCCTTGCCTGAAGTAGAGAGCTTTTGGGGGAAACTTCAACTGAAACGTTGCAAATGAAATAAGAATTCAATATGTTATCTTCCTAACGAATAGATGCTATCCCCTTTAAATCTTTTTTTTTTTGTAATAAGATGAGCATTAATAGATCCTAAAGCAATACCAGCAATCAGTTAACTTCATTTTATTATAAGGAATACTTACTTCCTTGTCTCTTATTTGTCATCTCTCTTTCTTGTCTAGAGAATAAACCCACTATTTTATTGATACTTACTAAAGGTGACAAGTGTTATTAATCATGTTTTCCTTATAGACATTACAAAAGTCCTGAGTTGTGAAATTTGTTGAAACTGACTGCATCACTGTTAATTTTGATTTAAAAATTATTCTTTTTTATGTTTGGTAATGAATAACTTTATATGTTCATCTAAATAAGTAGAATAATCTATCCTCCCTCAATGGCTTAGATCAAGCATGTTAAACTTGCTGCCCGCGGGCCACAAGCATTGTTTATTTGGCCCATGTTAGCCTTTGAGTTTGACATGCTTGACCTAGATGGTAATCATGTATCTTTCTGTTTTAAGCCTTTCTAAGCTTTTTTTTTGTATGTGTTCATCAGTTGGGAAACTGCTGCTGTTATGTCCTGTGATGTGTGTTAAAGTTGTAAAATATACTCAATTCGGTGGCCCTTGTCAGGTCACATTTACTAATTTTGGGCTAATCTTTTGGGTGTGTGTTTTTTTGCCAGCATGCTGTCCACAGAAGCCAGCATGCATTCTGCGAGGCTGTTTATTCTGTCTTCTAATTGATTTCATGTGTGAAACATTAATGGTTGCCAAGAGTTTCAAGAATGAAAATATTCAGCGTAGTTATAAGTCTGTTTCCCTGCAGCATTTGGCAGTGATTTGTCTGTCCGTTGCTCTTTAGATCCCTGACTATCAAATATAATTAAGAATCTGGAAAGATAACCTAAGACAATGAAACTTTAAAAATCAATAAGGATAAGAGAATGAATTGAATAATCCTGTCTTTAAGAAAATACCTCAATTGGAAAACCATACAAAATTGGATTTTACTGAGCTTTCCCATCCTTGCCTTTGTATAAGAAGTAGAGCTCTTGCCCAGCTGGCATGGCTCAGTGGTTGAGCGTCGACCTATGAACCAGGAGGTCACGGTTGGGGCCCCAAGTTGTGGGCCCAATCCCCAGAGTAAGGCATGCAGGAGGCAGTCACTCAATATTCTCATCATTAATGTTTCTACTTTCTCTCCCTCTCCCTTCCTCTCTGAAATAAATAAAAATATATGTATTTTTTAAAAAGTAGAGCTCTTTTTCTAAAAATGGACAATGGACTCTTCAGTTTTGAAAGTCACAACCATGAAATTCGTTTGCCCTTAGTAGGGTCAGATTAAGCCTGCAATTACTGCTGCTTAATCATTTATCATGGTCTCCAGGGACTGAAAGGATGGATTCCACCTCAAGGCCAACTCTGACAAAATTGTATTTATAATATGGTTTTCTTTGGTGCTACTTTACTGGACAAAAAAATGGAGAGAGAAAGGTCTAAGAATCTTGGTAGACAGTAAAGACAAGAATGCAGTTTGGCATTTTGGAACTGGAAAAGAGAAACTTTTCAATTACCTTTTCTTTAATACTATTAATATATTGATTCAGGACTTCACAATTTTTTTAGGCTGAATTACTTAAAATATTGCTAATATTTTTGGATTCCTTGTATGAATTTGGACATTTTGTAATATGGGGATTCGTTTTACGCTAAAAACAAAACAAAACAGAGGTTCTGGAAATTTGTCTCTTTCTAAGGTCATATGGCTAAAAAATGAAAAGTAGACATAAGACTTCTCCAAATCTAATGCTCTTATGTTATTCTGAGCCTAATTCCTTTGAAAATTATGGGTATTGAAAGGTTCTATTTTCAAGCTGAGGGCTTGTCATTTTCAAAGATAATTTATATTATTGAATTCTTTTTTTAAATTTAAATTCTTTATTGTTTAAAGTATTACATATGTCTCCCTTTTCCCCCATTGACCTCTCCCTGGATGTTCCCAACCCCCAGCACAAACCCTCCCTCTCCTCCCACCCCACTGTCTGTGTCCATGGGTTATGCTTACTAGTATATGCATGTATACAAGTCCTTTGGTTGATCTTTTACCCCCACCTCACCCCAGCCTTCCCTATGAGGTTGGATGGTCTATGCGATGCTTCTATGTCTCTGGGTCTATTTTTGTTCATCAGTCTGTTGTTCATTATATTCCACAAATGAGTAAGATCATGTGATATTTATCTT